GAGGGGCTGTGACAAACTGTTTCGTCGGAGTTTCACCGACTCATCAGGAGGTATATATATATAGAGTCAAAGTTGTCAAACAGAGCTTCCCGGTAAACCGTAGGCAGAGGGGGAGAAGAGGACAACAAACAAGGGGCTGTGAGAAACTGTTTCGTAGGAGTTTCACCAACCTACTCATTGAGCTGCCTTCTCCTCATTCGGAACCATGTCCCACTTGCACCGTTTAGCTGAGGCAAGTAAATAGTGTGACAACTAAAAATGTTCATTTTAATTTGATTGAAAATGAGAAATGCATTTATAAATGGCACTGATCTAGGCTACCAGAGTGGCCCGGGGTCACTTGCCCGGCCGGGCAAAAAACAATTAAAAATTTAAAATTAAAATTTTGTTTTTTTTCTCTAAATTTGGTGCACAATTTCGATGTGACCCTGAGGCAAAAGTTGTTCAGTTTATTTTTCTGCATAACATAGTTTTTTTTCGGATTTTTTTTTTTTTTTTTTTTTTGGGCTGGGACCTTCCCTGGTCCTTGCACAAGCTGGCCACCCGGAACCCGGGCGGCCCGGCTGGTAGCCTAGGCACTGATACCATTGTTCTGTTTTTTCTTCTTTCACAATTGGATTGGGATACGGGCACTTCCACAGCAGAAAATGAAGAGTTGCCAGAATACCGTTCGAAAATGGCAAACGGAAGAAGAGTACAGTTTCTCCATTAAAAAAAAAAAAAAAAAAATGCCTTTTGGGGGAATAAGAGGGTTGTTGAGCTGGCTGTATCAAAAAAAGGAGACAGCTAACTGAACGGAAAGTCACGAGGGTAGGGGGCGTCGTGGTATTCGAAAGAAAGGATTTACTTTCTTCTTTTTGTTGGACGAAAAAGTGACGATAGTCTCTATTGCCTTTTTTTAAGTTCTATTAAAAAGCGACCGCTATATCACTTGGACTGCGTGCAATGCATCTCTGTGGTCACCTACAGTCACAAACAGTCGAAAACTAAACGTCAACGGAGCTAGTGGGGCATGGTCCCGGGGGGACAGCCATATATTTTTTCTCTCACTTCCACTTATTTTTAAACTGCCGTTCTGCCATGTCATGTCATGGAACATATGTTTCTTTCACTACCTACCTACCACTACTCCCAACTTCCTAAGACTATACAGGGGACCCCTGCAAGCATAGCTTTCTACCTCTCTTCGGCGAAGTTAGGCAGGTTACCTCTAGGTCGAAAACGGCATAGCTTTCTACCTCTCTTCGGCGAAGTTAGGCAGGTTACCTCTAGGTCGAAAACGGCATAGCTTTCTACCTCTCTTCGGCGAAGTTAGGCAGGTTACCTCTTGGTCGAAAACGGCATAGCTTTCTACCTCTCTTCGGCGAAGTTAGGCAGGTTACCTCTTGGTCGAAAACGGCATGTTTGCCCCTTTGCCCTTTAGGGCGGTAACGAATTTCGCCGTGACCCTGAGCCAAAAGTTGTTCAGTTTCTGTTTCTGCAGAACATAGTTGTTTTTGTTTTTTTTTTTGCATTTTTTTCTTTTTTGTTTTGTTTGCTGGGAGCTTTGGTGGTCCTTGCACGGCCGGGCCGCCCCGGAAAACAGGGTGACCCGAGCGGCCCAGCTGGTAGCCTACTGTAGGCGGAAACAAAATATTATCAAGACCCTCTGTCATTTTTGTGAGGAATGTGTCCTCGGGGGACCCTAGACAACATGCATATGTTCTCGCTGTCGCCCCCAGCAAGCCTCGTGCCCGCCCTAAGTGAAGGCGGGCCTGAATATTCAAGAGAGGCCCTCAACTAAGCAATTTCCGAAGTGGGTCTCAGACGGTTGCTGCATGACAGTTGGTTGAAGTGCAACCTGGGCCTCACCCTGGGCTCTTACAGAAGAAGCAGCTGCGCCAGGCAGCTGAGACCAGGACGCAGGTGGTTGCGCCCTGGGCACACGCAGTGTGAGGTTAACACATCACGAAGTGGCCACGGGCCAACGAGAATGCAGCATTGTCGTCACATCAATCCCGTGGGCCAATGAAAACACAGCAAACATTCGGAGCCTGGAAAATCCTGGGTGTTCACTTGGGCCTGGGGACAGACACTGGGGCCCAACCAGAAGCTACTGGACAATTCCAGTGCCAGGCCCAGACAGACCAGCAGCAGCAATCTCTCCCATATAGGGAGGAGGCCAGCTAGGCTCTGGCATTCTGGCCTAGGGAGGCAATGCGAACACGCTGCGCAAGTGTCTGCATGAGTGCTGGCTGGCTGGGGCGCACGCTGGGGCTGAGAGGTGAGGGGCGCTAGCGGCAATAACCGGGCTGCAGGGCACGAGGGCAGAGGAGGGCGACCGTGGTCTTCAGGAGGCGGCGCAGGTGTGGGTGTACATGATGAGCGGAGTCGAGAGTACGTACCTGGTGTATGTGGGAGGTCGGCATTCGTGTTGACGTCATGACCATTGGTCTTCAAAGTCAAAGTGAGCCTGTTGGAAGAACGTAGGTAGGATAGGTAGATCGAGTAGAGTAGGATGGGCGCTGGGCGCCAGACAGAGAGGAGCGACATTGAATACTGCGTTGGTGTGGCCTGAGGGCTTGAACATTGGCTCACGAGTTCATTATTTGGATGGAATCTTCGTGCATTTGAGCTCTCTGCTTGTACATGACTATCTGGACTTCTACGTGATTTTGCAACTTGGTTTCTGTGTATCGCTCTCGCTCATATTCCTTGCAATTTGGTATCAGAGCTGGTTCAAGATCGCCTATCTGCCGCTGGCGACATTGTTACTTGGTGCGCTGACGATGCTTCTGTGCAGTGAGGATACATTGGCGCCGGCGTGATATTGCGACACCCAGGTAGAGGCGCGAGTCGCAGGAAGGCTGTGGCGACACCGGATGTATGTATGCTGATGAGGGCATGCTGATGTGGCATTTTGGCTGAGGTGGCACTGCATTGCGTTGTGGGTGGTACCGAAGCTACGACCGGTCATCGAAATGCACATTGACTCAATTGGTGAGAAATCTGTGGTTGGGCCCAGCTATCTCCAGGTACGTTGTTCCCTTTTTTTTTTTCGTTTTTTTTTTCAGAACCTCTTGGTTCTGGCTCCTCTGGGGAGCAACAGTCCGGTTCCTATTCCCCCGGCAAGTCAATGGAAAGTACAAGGTTGACTCACCCTACGCTCATCCGCATTATGGTTGGGAGGCCCGAGCGGACGGCATTGATTACTTCCAGAAGGAAGGATGTACCACCCCTCACCCCTGCCTGAGTTAGCCTGTTGTAGCTAGTCCTTTGTATGGCTTTGTAAGCCTAATCCAGCTGTGTGGCTGTCAGTTATTACATGTATCTCTAGA